AAGACTAAAAATGTTTAGAAATTTATTTCATTATATTTCTACATTGTATTGAGATAGAACATTAACAAATATTTTATAACCGACTAAAATTACATTTATCTGTTAGTTTAATTGTTAATTAGGAATAATTTTATATGATTAGTAAGTCAAAGTACATATTTGTTTGAGATTATCCAAAAATTATTAATTAATTATACTTTTTGATACCTTTCAAATTGGAATAAAAAAAAAATATTTACACAAAATATTATTTTGAAATCTTTTTACCTTTGATTAAGCATGAAATTTTGAACACATATTGAATATGTATAGGAAAGTTTTTTGCAATTCGTAAATTTGTCATTATTTTTGAAAGAAATTTCATATTCAATAACAAAGTAATTATTTTAACTTAATATTAATAAAATATTTACTAATCTTTATATATTATATTATTTAGCTAACCGCATTGTTTGGCAAATGTTACACACAGCTAAAAAACCCTATTAAAATATGACATGTCATTTCCAATCGAATAATCAAGGTGCGCACTATTTCTGGTACTATACTCCGCGGATCTACATTCTGATCAAATGACTTTCAACACATGATTTTTAAATATGTAATAAATTATGTCATCTCTATTCATTTTTTCACAACAATCACCTTTTCTTTAAAAATGAGGTAAATACATAATTTTACATTTTTTTTTATCTAAGGAAATTTTGTTAATGTTAATTCTTTTCTTATATAGTAATAACAAAAAAACCGAATGGACTATAATTGAGACTTTTGAAGAGGATGACTTTATTTGCATTGATTTTTATGGTAAAATACTTATAAATTTAATAAAAAATATTCCCACGTTTATAATTTTTTCTTTTTGCATTAAAATATATATGATGATTACTCAAAATTCTTTATTTCCTTTTTTTTAGAAAGAGCAAAAAAAGGGAACAATACTAGGTATGTTTTTAATAATAATTAATACCGTATATCGCAATTACTATCGTTAAAAGTAATTCAACATATGATAAAATTTATTTAATATTAATAATATATTTTGTTAATTTCATTTATAGTGATTATAAATTTGGGAATCCCAAAGTTAAATATGAACCGAATTTTGATAAAAAAAGGAATAGCCTCTTAAGTTTAAAGAATGAAGAATATTATTTAGAGTGGGATAAATATATTTCAAAATATCGAAAATCAATTTATAATGAAGAAATAGAAAATTTACAAAATCAGTTGAAATAATTAAAAATTGTTGAAAGTAATATTGAAAGGGATCTTGATTATAATAAGAGGAACGAAAAAAAATTTAAGGAATCTCAAAATAAATATGTTGAAAATCAAATTAAAATAAAGGAAGTTGACAAAAATATAAATAATTTACTTCAAGATATTTATAAACTTAATCAATTAAAAGATATTGGAAAAGATCTTTTGGGTAATAAAATAAGTTTTGGATTATTTGATGTGGATTTTAAAACTTTACAAAATCTTCCTGCTGATTGTAAGTACTGTAAATTATTTACTGGTAAATTGCTTTGGTCTTATTATTGAAATAATTTTTATTAATTATTTTTTTTTATTTATAATATTAGTTGTGGCTTTTCCTGCGTTCCTTGTTGAATATAATCATAGAAGTGATTCAATTTCAAATACTAAAGGTGATTTGAAATATTTGGATTCTTTACCACAAGGAATTAAAGATGATATTATTAAGGTCAATATTCAAACATTTTATTAATATTTATAATATTTAAAGAAATAAAATAATTTTGAATTTTATTATTTTAGTCAGCAAATAAGTACAACATAAAATACACGATTGATCTATTTAACGAATATGAAAAGATTCATCGTGCTAATTAATTTTTTGATGGCGAATAAAACATATGTATATATTTTCTTTTTTTTATAAAAAATTTATTTCTCGCAATGAATTATAATGTACCGTATTTATTTTGTTTTTTTTTATTTGTAAATAAGTTTTTATTTTAATTAACATATAATCTTGTTAAACTTTACTAACATTTGATATAATATGAAATTTATGAGATACTGAGAAATGTATAACAGAATCTAACAAAGTTAATGGTTTACTGCGTAATCTCTTTGTGGATAAGATCCATGTGACCATGCATATAATCTATTATAGTTTTTGATTAAAATCTCGTTGGGACGAACCAATCTGTTCCACGTTATAGTTAATTTAAGTAGAAGTAGTCGTCTTTGTCTTATTATCAACAAAATTTGCGAAATCTGTATGTCAAAAAAAAGTAAACCACGTGAGAGACAGAGGACAACAGAATTTAGGAGTAACATAAATTGATGTCTTATGTAATTAGTGAAGCTTAATCTATCTGCAAAATTAAAAATTCTAGATAATGTCTATAAATATATTATCTGGCGATACTATTTAAAATATAAATTTATTACCAAATTAAACTTTATTACTCTATAAATAAATCATTGTTAAAAAAGAAATTTAATTGTAAGTTTATAATCACGAGTTACGACTCATTTTTTTGGACAAAAAAAAATTTTTTTTTCCGAAATTTATTTATTTATTTATTTATTTTTCGATAAAAATAAAACCTAATTTTCACTAAGAACTTTCAATTTAGATATTTTTTTTTGAATTTAAGTCGATTCTCTAAACATTTTGAACATTGTACCGCACATAAAATGATTTAACTCAATCTCGCATTATAAAAAACATAAACAACAAAAACTTAGAAAACTTAAACAACAAAGTCTTGTATCACCACCAAAAAAGTTATTACAATTGATGTAATTTACTACTTATCTATAATTTAAGTATTTCCGTATTATATGAAAGTGCATGATCATTTTCATCAATCGTAATATTAAAAGTTCCAAATTAACACTGATGTTATAACGCTTGGGTTTGTCTTAGAAGATAATGCAATTATATCTGAACAGTTTATCATCAAGCAAGAAAACCCTGTATTTTCCTAAATAATATCAAGATAATTCACTAAAA